AGGGTGGGAGTCCAAGCTCATCTGGGCTTAGGGGAGTCTGCAGGAGTGAGTGGTTATGTCATGATCTGTGGAGATAGGAATGGGATCATAACATGCTAGAGAAATAGAGTGGGGAACCAGGGGAGATGGGGCAGAGTTGGATGTGAGCCTGGCTGGTGTTTCTAACCCTTGGCCATCCCTGTCTTAGGACTATTTGCTGTGGAATAAGCTAGGGGCCACCCTGGCCAATGGAAACCAGAGTGAAGAAGCAGTAGCTGCATACCGCCGGGCCCTTGAACTCCAGCCTGGCTATATCCGGTCCCGCTACAACCTGGGCATCAGCTGTATCAACCTTGGGGCCCACCGGTAAGAGTATCTGCTGAGGAGGGAATGAATGAATGAATGAGTGAATGAACAAATGAATGAATGAGTGAACTAGTGAATGCGTGACTGAGTAAATGAATGAATGAGTGAACAAGTGAATGAATGAATGAATGAACTCCTCCCTGCTGTGGGCCCTGGCTCCTCCTCCTCTGATCTGTTACTTGACTATCAGGCACAGCTTGCTTTCTCCCCTCACCCACTGACCTGCCTCCTTCCCTGGGTTATCCTCTCACCAGCTCTCATGCTTCTGCCCTGCAGGGAGGCTGTGGAGCACTTTCTGGAGGCCCTGAACATGCAGAGGAAGAGTCGGGGCCCTCGGGGTGAAGGGGGCGCCATGTCAGAGAATATCTGGAGCACCCTGCGTTTGGCCTTGTCCATGTTAGGCCAGAGCGATGCCTATGGGGCAGCTGATGCCCAGGACCTGCCCACCCTCCTGGCGATGTTCGGCCTGCCCCAGTGACAGTGGGACGGGCTGCCCTGCGAGTGTCTGCTTGGAGGGATCCCTGCTCTGGACATGATTCCCTCTCCCCAAATGGGCCTACCAAGGGGGCGGGCTGATGACCACAAGCGGTACCGCCTCTCAGGGGCCACCTCTGCGTAGGGTGGGTAGTCTGCATTCTAGTTCCTGCATAATTGTAGGAAAAGGAGCTGTGTCATTGGAGCCCTTGGTAATTCAAGGGCTGTCTGTCCAGCTCCCTATCTCTGCTCGTCATGCCCTTTCTTGGTGCTGCTTTTTGGTTAGGACCCAAAGATAGAGGGTAACTGTTGTCATCAGCTGCCGTTTCTGAAGGGTCTGCCACATTTGTAACATCTGTCCTCCCCCGACCTTTCCCAGGAATTGATAATCACGCAGCCTCTTCAGGCAGTGGTGTGGGTCCTACCGAGCACCTCTGTGATGACCGTGTCTAGGGTGGCATGTGAGATTGAAGTGTTGATCTGGCTCAGCAGAGCCGGGTTTTTAGGGGTGCTTGTGGTTCTGTCGTCCTTGGACCTCCCCTGGCTGCAGCTTGGGGTTCCTGGTTGCTGCTGCACACAGTGATGGGCATCATTGTGGGAGGGGTCTTCAGGGGCTGCCAGGGTCAGTTGCTGCAGAGTGTTTGGGTGGGGGGAGTAGGGAGGAAGGCTTGTTGTAGACTGAGCCTCAAAGGGACCAGATGGGCTCAGGTCCAGGGCTCTGGTCTGAGGCCTGGGGAGGGAGGACAGAGTAGGTGGGATGAGGACTGTCCTGATTGTGCCCACCCCCCTCCACTTAGAATGACCTGTGAGTCAGAATTGAGCCAGCTCTTCTGGAAAGCCAGTTCAGAAATTGCCACCTTGCCAGATCCCCAACAAAGAGGGGGTTCAGCTTTACCTTGAGCCTCTGCCTGCCTTCTTCCCCTGTACCACCTCCCCAGGGGGAAGGTGAGCATGGATTCTGCCAGGAGACACACTCACTCCAGAAATGCCTGAGGTGGCCACGAAGCCGCTTGCCTTGTCTTCAGTAGCTAATGACCAGAGAGATTTTTTTTTTTTAAGTACCATGGTCCCAAGGTTCCATCCTGAAATTTATTTTTCTTTGTATGAATATGTGTAAATGATTTAAAAAATAAAGCTGTAAAATATTTGTATGAAGAATAAATGAAACTGACATAGCTTTGAGTCCTGCTATTGGGTGTGCAGTTGGTGTGGTGGGAGGGGAGTTGCTGTTTGGAAGTTGGTGTTCAACAGTTTTTCTCTCTTCATCTTTCAAATTCTCACTGGAACATTGATTATCCAGCATCTACCTAATACATGGGAGGTACATGAATGAGATGGTCAGGGTCCCTGTGTTCGTGGTGCTGATGGTTTAGCAGGAGAGACAGGTGTTTAGCAATCATGCATTTTTTACTTGTGTTCAATACAGAAAAATATAGGGTACAGTATAATTGCTTGGTATTTTTTATTACAAATAATTCCATGGAAGAAGTCTTTCTCAATGCTTAGGGCATTGAGATGCCAGCATTTCAATGCTGGCTCCACCAGGTTTTATCAGAAACTAGAGACATATCAAGATGGGTCTCTATCCTAGGGAAAAATTTTAAAATATACATTTTTATATTTGGAAGTAAATGTCTGTGGCCATGTTAGAATTTGAAATGTCTAAAAGAGAACTGGTTCAGTAATCCAGACAGTGAAATATTATTTAGCTATTTAGTTATATTTAGGGAACAATATCCAATGACAAAGCTAACAATATAATGAGAAAGCAAGGTTAGCAAACTTTTTACAAGTTATCTCAAGAAGAAAATGCATTGAAAAGAGAAGAAATTCCCAATATGTTAAATGTGTCAAGATTGTGAGCGACTTTTGCCCTGCTTTGTCATACTTCTCTGTAATTTACAAATTTCCTTAGTGTGTGTGTAATACTTTTATAGAAAAAAAAAAAGACAACATTATGGGGAGGACAGCATCTGTTGCTGGCACCTGGGTCTCTGAAGGGCAGTGGGGCACGGCCCACAGTCCTGGGAGTGGGCTGGGCAGGCTGATGAAGAAGTTTGTGGTGTGGAGATAAGGAGAAATGTCTGGCAGAGTAAATAGCCTAGGAGTTGAGTTAACTTCTGGTTTAAGCAAAATCTCCAGGTTGATCTGCTCTGCTTTGTGTTTGACAGCATGAAGATGTCCAAGTTGATGCTTTTTTCATCAGGGCCAGATGCATCTTGAGTCCACATCAAATTCAGCCAGTATTTATTGAGTCCCCATCATGAACCAGATGCTTTTGGGTACCAGGGATGCAATTCACAAGGCAGACAAGGTCCCTGCTCTCACGGCTAATGTACTAGTTGAAGGAGTGACAGAATAAACAAGTAAATAAGAAAACCTCAGGGACCTCTCTGGTGGTTCAGTAGCTAAGACTCTATGCTTCCAGTGCAGGAGACTTGGGTTTGATCCCTGGTCAATGAACTAGATCCCATAAGCTGCAACTAAACATTTCTCATGCTGCAGCTAAGACCTAGGGCAGCCAAATACAATGCACAAATGAAAACCTCAGTCAATGTGCTGTGAAGAAATAAAGTCACACTTTGCACTAGAGAGTACAGTGGAGGCTTTGTGGGGGCAACGTTAGATAGTGTGGTCAGGGCAGGCATTGGTCGTGAGGTGGTCTGAGCGGGAGGAGCCAGCGGTGAGGGGTGCAGGAGGAGCCAGTGGTATGGGGGGTTCTGGTGGGAGCCTGGTTGAGATCCCAGGGGGAATGACAAAGGCTCTGATCCGAGGCTAGAAGAGCCCCATGCAGTCTAAGGGGAAGGAGCTGGAGTGTAGCGGGAGGAGTAGCAGACAGGGTGGAGGTGGTCAGGAGCATGATAACTGGGCTCTTCTTAATTATGGTGGAGAATTTCCATTTTATTCTAAATTCCACAAGAAAACGCTAGAGAGTTTTAAGCAGAAAGGTGACATGGTATGATTTAGTTTTAAAATCCGGGAGCTTCCATGGTGGCTCAGTGTAAAGAATCCGCCTGCCAATGCAGGGGACACGGTTTGATCCCTAATCTGAGAGGATACCACATGCTGCAGAGCAACTAAGTCCCTGAGCCACATCGATTGAGCCGGTGCTGTAGAGCCCAGGAGCAGCAACTACGGAAGGCTGCGTGCCCTGGAGCCCGTGCTCCCCACTAAGAGGAGCCACTGCAACGAGAAGCCCTAGCACCACAGTTAGAAAGTGGTGCTTCCCACAACTAGAGAAACCCTGTGCAGCAATGAAGACCCAAGACAACCAAAAATAGTAAATAAATAAAAAAAGACAGCTCCGGTTGCAGGCTCTAGGCTGGAGATGGCGTAAGGATAGGGATGGGTGGCAGAGAGATGTAGGAAACGGGACGGATTTTGTAGGTACAGCTGTTAGAACTTGTTGATGGACTGGATGTAGAGGGTGAGGGCAGGAAGTGAAGGCTGACTCCTTGGCTTTTGGCCTCAACAACTGCAGGAATGGTGTTGCCCTCAACCGAGAAAGGGGAAACTGGGTGGAGCATGTTTGGGAAGGAAAATATCAAGTTCTATACGGAACATGTGAGATGGGAGGCAGAGATCTCTCCAAGTATAGATATCAAGTACTGATAGATGAATTGTATATGTAAGTCTTGGGAGAAGTCAGGGCTTGGTATATAAATTTGAGAGTCTTATTATTTATATAGATGGTGTTTAAAGCCCCAAGACTGGATATGTTCGCCTAAAAACTTCATCTAATTTCTCCATCCCTACTGGCTTTTTTAGGCTTTCCTGGTGGCTCAGTAGTAAAGAATCACCTGCCAATGCAGGAGATGTGGGTTCATTCCCTGGTCCATGAAGATCCCCTGGAGAAGGAAGTGGTGACCCACTCTGTATTCTTGCCTGGAAAATCCCAAGGACAGAGAAGCCTGGCGGGCTAAAGTCCATGGGGTTGCAAAACAATCAGACATGACTGAGCAACTGACCAAGAACTGGCTCTTTCATTTCATTAAATAAGCATGCTCAATTATTTCTCATGCTAAATGGAACAAAAACCGAACCGATCCCCTGATCAATCAGCCAAACAAAATAATCTTTTCTCAGCCATGAATCTCCCCACCCCCAGCCTGGCCCCTATCTCAAGAAGCCAAGCTCTTTCAGGAACCATGCTGAGTCTGATGGAGCAGGGTTTGCCTTGACCATCAAAGGTGTTGCAGAGGACACTGGCAGATGACGAGTTGCTCCCTGGTGACTGGGGGTGTTGCATGCTCATTGGCCCTGACTTCATTTACATGGGCTAGGAGGAAGCGGGGAGAGTATTGGAACAGAGCTCGTCCATGGCCAATTGATAAGAGAGTCAGAAGAGAACTCCTCAAACCACACACAGGATTCTCAAGAAAATGTCAATAAAGCACAAAAGGACTCCTTTGGACTAATAACATTATTTTTAAAAAAAAATTTATTGGGGGTAGAGTTGATTTACATTGTTGCCTTAGTTTCTGTGGTACAGCAAAGGGAGTCATTTATTCATATACATATACCCATTTTTTAAAAGATTCTTCCCCACGTAGATCATTACAGATTATCGAGTAGAGATCCCTGGGCTACACAGTTGTTTAGTTGCTCAGTCATGTCTGACTCTTTTGCAACTCATGGACTGTATCTTGCCAGGCTCCTCTGACCATGGGATTCTCCAGGCAAGAATACTGGAGTGGGTTGCCATTTCCTCCTCCATAGGATCTTCCTGACCTAGGGATTGCACTCATGTTTCCTACATTGGTAGGCAGATCATTAACCACTGAGCCACCAGGGGAGCCCAAATACAGTAGACGTTTAATACTTAACTGTTTTGTTTATAGTAGTGTGTACATGTCCATCCCAATCTCCCCATTTATCCTCCCCCTTTGCCCCTGGTAACCATAAGATTAATAACATGATTTTCTAAGTGAAAATGTAATAGAGAAACAAGAGGAGGATGATCACTACTGAGAACGAAACTGATGGTCTGAAAAGCAAGCAAAAACTGTAGAAAGTTATAAAAAAGCAGACATAATAATGAGGGGAAAGACAAGGGACTGGGACGACAGATCTAGGAAATCTAATGTGTAAAACTTAGAAATTGCAAAAGAAGAACAAATGAATAAATAAATAAATGAAAAATGAAAATTATCCTGGGGCTCATGGCTCAATTAAAAAGCTCTTCCAGGATCCTACTAACCCAACTGACACTAGGAAGCACAATTTTTAATTAATCTTAATTAATCTTAAAAGCTATACTGAGCCCCATATAAGATTAATTGAAAATTGTGCTTCCTAGCGTCAGTTGGGATGATGGTAGGATTCCGAATAGCAGAGGCTGTTTGGAGACACTTAATCATAAGAGCAAGGCAGCCATAATTCCTGTAATAGATGGCAAGGTTGGAGTGGAAATCAGACAATCCTGACCCATAGGAGACTAGGACAGTGACTAACAGACCGTAGCATTCCATGGAGTGAGTGGTGGATAGTCCAAGAGAGTATTGCAACAGGCTGACGTCAGATGCTGCCATGGAAAAGCACGATCCTGTGACCAGGTTCAAGGTCTCAGTTATTGATTGAAAGGAAAGCTACTTTCTTTCGAAAGGAATTCTGCAATGCTACCACAAATACATTCAATAAATATTCTCCAAATCCTCTCTGAAGAGACCTATGGCTGTATATCGGAGTACTCATACACTAGACAAAGGAAAACACTCAGATTTTCAAGGGACCTAAAATGCCATCAGTGACCTTGCCTGGTAAACTGAGGAGTGAATGGAAGCCGGGAGTAAATGGAGTTGGGACCCAAATCTTCCTCCTAGTGGGTCTAATGTGTTTCTTTCAACATCTAGCTTTTCCTGACTAATGCAATTAGGTAATAACTAAAACCATCCTCCTCT